GTGTGTGTGTGTGTGTGTGCGGCGCGGCTTTGCCTTAGTGGAAAAAATAATTCTAACAGCAACTCAAACAGACAAACAAAATGGCAGGCGGACAAACAAACCAACTGAAAACATGAAAGCGGCGCAAGTACAGCAACAGCAAATATAACAAAAAATTAGAAAAAGAAAATCCGGCTTCAGGATCCGAAGCTTGGCATACCCTTGCATACCCTTTAGATTTATATAGCTTTACCCATAGTTATAGAACTTAGCATACCCTTGCAGATACCATTGCAGCGATCTTCGGCTAGCTTTATTTTTCTATAGTCATAGTCGTCGATATAAATATAGATAGTTCATTGAATGAACAAATGAAACCGTAGGTATTTGAAGTTGGTTGCATAACTTATAATACAAGAATAAAGCACTTGCAGATTAATCGATTTTCTGGTTACTGACAATATTGGTAACTGATTGAACGTATTATTGTCATACACCTGTCATACATCTGTAAAGAGTTTGAGCTTGGATAAAGTCTTCGAGATGTAGAACAGTTGATTATAATTAGAAAGATTCATTAATATTCTTTCATGCCATATACCCTTGATCTCGTCTTAGTACCGTTTCACAGGGTATAAAACGACCAAAAGAAATCCACATAAACAACTAGAGCGATTGGGGGAGAGAATAGAATAAGGCAGCAGTAGGTGTACGTAAAGAGAGCAGACTGTGTGGCAGAGCCAGGCAGACGGAAGGAGGGAGACGCGCAACATTTGATGTTTGTGCTGAGCAAACTTTGCACGAAAACTTGCTCCAAAAGACACCTGAGCAGGCGACTCCTGGTCCCATTCTCATTCTCATTCCCAGCCTCGAGCCCCGAGCCCCGAGCCCCCTTGAAGATCGATCACGTGTTTGAACAGCAGTGACAGGAGGCAGGAAAGACGTTTGCTGGCTGGCATACAGATGCGATGAATGGGTGGTATGGGTCCATGTGTTTGCATTCAATTCATTCAAATATATTTTCAGCAATTTTTCCCTGTCATTTCATATGCCATGATGTGTAGATGTCGCTGCACTCCCACTCCCACTAACTGGATTTGTATATTTTCTCCATTCAATCATTTCATGGACAACATGTAGCCTAGACAACGATTTCATGCACCTCCCTATGTGGGTGCGTGTCTTGTGACTGACCCAGAAAGAGATGTGGAAGATGTGTCCAAAGACTCCCACCTCTGTCTATTCCTCCTCCTTCTCCGGCTCCAACAATGGACTTGGCTCTTGATTTGATAAGCAACAGAAGCAGAGCAGCCAGATAGAATTTCACCATGTGCCCTGTCTGAAGTGCCTCTCCTCGGATGGATTTACTGGAGCTGAAGGGTGTAAATTAAACGAGGCGGCTACCTGAAGACATACATAGTTGTGGCACACCAAGGCCCTCGAGCTCAGGGGCCCAGAACTTGTATTTGCAAAAAATTAGATGGTACAGATTGGTCAGTACAATATCTGCAATAAATCTCGGTTTTTTCGATATAATACAACTTTTATCCGAAATATTTCTCAAGCGGTTCAGTAAATATGAACGTAGTGAAAGTATTAAAGACAAAATGCTACAATTTCAAGTTCGTGTTCCTTCGCGAATTCTTACATCATGTATTAAATGACATTAATTAGGCATCTTACGCTTTACAGCACGCAGGAGAAGAAACTCTTCAAACCAAATGCTAACAAAATATCTACACTAAAAAAAAACGAGGGGGAACGTTGTGAGTTGCTGCGGACACCGCAACTCTACATTTATACCCGATACTAAGTCAGTATGGCTCTCCTCCGGCAGACGCCGCTAATATTAAACGACACGACAAAGAGTACGTGCGAGAGAGACAGAAAATCAGTCTGAGCTGACGTCACGGGCGCTGCGTAGCCACTGCAAATTGATTTGTTCCTTTTGGCTATAAAAATGATCTGATCTGATCCAGATTCAGCAATCTGATATTCTATCTCTGATTCAGCGTTTTTAGTTTTCTCGAATCTGCAATATTGTGGATGCAACAGATTTTCGTCCTTTGTGGGGGGCGGAAGGGGTGGGGGCAAAATTTTGAGATATACATTTTATAGTGAGATCTAACAAAAGTGCGGATACCAAATTTGGTTACTCTAGCTTTAATAGTCTCTGAGATTTGTGGATGCGGAGATTTTTTTTGGTAGCAGTGACATATCACAGAGGTCTGGATCCAAAACATCGTTGCTCTAACTCTTATAGTCTTTGAGCACTAGGCGCTAATAGGGACGGACAGACGGACGGCCGGACGGACAGACGGGGCTCAATCGACTCGGCTATTGATGCTGATCAAGAATATATATACTTTATGGGGTCGGAACGATTCCTTCTGGACGTTACACACATCCACTTTTACCACAAATCTAATATACCCCAATACTCATTTTGAGTATCGGGTATAAAAAAAAGCGTGCAGAAAAACAGTAAAATGACACTTCCTTTTTTTCCCTCTCTCTATTTTACCTTTAGGTAAAGGGGTGTAACACCCAGAAGGAGCGTTTCCAACCCCAGAAAGTATAGACCCCATATATTCTTGATCAGCATCAATAGCCGAGTCGATATAGACATACGAGTACCTCTCTATCCGTCCGTCATTTTTGACGCCTAGTTATCAAAAACTATAAGAACTAAATCAACCAAATTTTATATCCAGACTCCTGTGATATCACAATGTTTTATCCAAAATTTCGCCCCGCCCTCTTCCGTCACCGCAAAGAACGAAAATCTGTGGCATCCACAATTCTGAAGATACGAAAAAACCAAAACCAAGAACCGTAGAGAATAACCATATCTAAATTACAACAAAATTAAAGAAAAATGGAAACAGATCAAATCTAATGTTTAAAAATCTTCCAAACGGTACGAACGATTATTGGCTAAAAACTTAATCTTGTTTCCTTGGAACGAGTAACTCCTCACCTAGATCTCCTGGGACGGAATTACCATACCGCAATCGATCACTCGGGGAATTTTACTTGCTGTTTTCCACCGTCACTCGTATTCAAGACTCCAATACTATAATTAAACCTCCGAATTATTATATAAAAACTACGCTTTTTTTTAGTCAACAGATTATTGCGCAGTTGTCAAACACTGAACTAGGGGTGGCGTAGAGTAGAAGGGAAAACAGGACCGTGTTCATGTTGATTTTAATTTCTATTTTCCATCAGCCCGTAGAGAATAAGGGGACGCTGGGAGGGGCGACAGCATAACACGTGGCAGCCACTTAAAAGTTGAAAATTACAATTTACATTTTTAGCCCCCGTAGACTCGTTTGCCCGCACAGAACGGCACACTCCCATAATATCTACATAAAGTACATACATGTGTAGTTTTTTTAAACCTTTTTTCGCACCCTGTACTCTAAGAATACAAGGATTTACTGCGTTCGCGCAACAGGCAGAGGGAAGCCAGACACCACGTTAGTGGCGACGATCTCTCCTTAAGAGTGGCGTTTTGAAGACCATATTCAAAAGAATCTCCCTTCGGAACACTTTCACGCCAAAACCAAATAATTAGCACTTGTAATTCGTGAGTAATATAAAAAATAAATAAGCCCTACTGTAATTTATGCTCGATTTCTCTATAGGGCCCCTGAATATACTAATCAATTTTTTAGTACGTTTATATAAAAATGGTTAATACACAATCGGGTATCATGTAGTCGCAATACGCGACGTTAGGCTTCTTTCCTGTTTATTTTTAGCTCTTGCCATTCAAGTGGCAGTTAAAATGGCTTCAGCCTCAATTGCTGGCATCCTGGTCGCTTCAGCCGCCATCCTGCATTCTACATCCAGCGTGGGCAGCGGATCCGGCATGGCAGCGACGTGCTGCATTAGGGAAGTTGACGCTGTGTTGATGCTGTGAGCGATTTATTGTTTTTGTGTGTAAAGCGTAAAATAGAACAAATTTTCCATCCCGAATCCCAACCCGAGCGCCAGTCCCGCCCACTCGCACTCACCCACCATCCGCCTCATGAAGGGAGTAGTTTCTGCAAGTGTGGTTGCATACTGTTAGGCTGCAATTGCGCTGCCTCCACTGCTCCTGGTCGTGTTCCCTGGGCTCTGCTGGCAGTGGCAGTGGCCTCGACAAGACAGAGCCCCCAGGCCTGGAGACCAGCATCGGGCGCGGTCGAGTATAGGCAGTTAATTGTAATTCTGCAAAAATGCTGCCAAAGTTATGTGAGTGGAAGGCCGGGGGCGTTGAGGCCAGCAGCAGCTGCTACTGCGGCACTCGATCGAGCCCAGTCCCAGGCCCGAGCCCGCACTCGTGTGGCGCGCGACTTTTTCCAAAATTGTATTTTAAAGCCACTCGCTAGGGCTTCAAGTTCCAACACCAATTCGCTCTGGGCGGCAATCCACAAGGGATCCAATCACAGCCACCTGGCATAAATTGTTAACAGATTGCCACCTCTGATACTCGTAGAGTGTCAAATAGCTGCCACAGGCGCTACAAAGGCTGGGTATTTCGATGTATATGTTAATTCCAATAGCTGATGACTGATATTTGCGATGTGATATGACGTACAGTGGCTGTACTTAAAAAGTACGAATAGTAGGCCAGTCGTCGAACGAAATAACAAGAACAAAACTTATCACGAGCCACTACTGTACTTCGCATGGAGTCTACTCGCACAGTGATATTGTTTTGAAAACGGAGAATTCTGGCGGATTTCAAAACTAAATCGGAAAACTTTGGAAAAGTGCAGGCCAGAGCCTGGCTGATTCATTTCCAAACTTCAAAACCCTATGAGCGCCTAGATCTCATAGACTAGGGAAATTAAATTTGGTGTCCACGCTCCTGTGGTATCTCACTGTTTCAAGTGTATTTCAAAATTTCGCCACGCAAATGTACAAATGTAAAGTTGCGGCCGTAGCAGAAACCCACCACGTTTATCCTTTTTTTTCCTATCAATTTTAGGGTCCTAAATGTTGCTTCTCAAAAATGATTTATCTAAAAGTTGAGTTAACAGGTCGTGTCTACAATTTATTGTAGAAAATTTATTGTTTAAAGAGATTCCCCAAGTCGAACCAATCCATCAAAAAGCATCCGAATCGGTGAGGGATATACCCAGCATGGCGGCCGATAGGTGCCACGATCTTCTTCATTGGAAATGGACGATCGGGCAGACTGGTAGTCATCAGTGCGCTCCGACTCTAACGAACAGGGTCCATTGAGACATGGCGATATGGCGATCGCTGGTTCCGGCAGAAAAGCGCTGGTAATCCCCCACATTCCAGTGTCCTGAACTGCGTAGAAGAAGGGTCCAGGCGATCCTCTAAGGGGACGGTACGGTCTGGCGTTGGAGTCATCCTCTGACTTCAGTGGACAGTTGCAGTTGTTGGCACCAGAGTTCAGCACGGCTTTGGAAGGGTTTGGGTAGGCTCCGGGCGATCTGGCATCGTTGTCGTCATCATTGCACTCCTCTACGTCTTTATAGTCGTCGTAATGGGGTCCGGCTTCTACTTCATCTGGACTAGACGATCTGGCGGTGAAGCCGTCGGCATTGCATTCCGTCTCCGAATCGAACTGGGACTCCGAATCCGGCGAACAACCGCAAGGGAGTTCGACGGGAAAGGCCGAACCCCCGCCTTGAGACTGCTGGCAGGTGCACGCCTGCACGGAGTTATAGCTGGTTTGGTCGCATTCGGCTGCAAATCCAGTGGGGTTAAAGTCTCTTTTCTTCAGGGAATGGTCGTTTTGCGTTGTTGTTCCAGTGCTATGGTAATTGGTGATGGTGATGGGTGATGTGCCAAGCCTGCTTCCACAAATGGTAAAACCCTGTTCCCATGCTCTCTGGATCTGCATGGCGTGGGAAGCTCCGGTGGGACAACCAGGGCAAGGCTGATTCGGTTGATAGTTTTGCTGTTCCATTGAACAATTTTTCTGTGTAGTTGTTCCGGCGCTCTGGTGGCCGGTTGACTGCATGACCTGATCGAACGAAACGTAGTTGATCATTGAGTCGAATCCGTTGATGCTTCGGTTGGAATATCCATTCTTGCGTCCGCTCTGTAGCATTTCATCCTCAGCACGCATCTTTTGGTTCTGATTTTGCTGTTCCATGGAACAGCTGTTCTGTGTTGTTGTTCCAGTGCTTTTGTGGCCGGTTGACTGCATGACCTGATCAATTGAATCATAGTTCGTCATTGAGTTCGACATTTGAACCTCAGCACGCATTCTCTGGTCCTGATTTAATCGCGTCCCCGAAATTATGGACATTGATGTCGTTACGGTTACCCCTTGCACCACTTGGCCATGGGGACCAACATCCATTGACTGGAAGTAGCGGTCTGAGGGCACTCTCTCGCATATACCACAGGGAATAGCGCCTTTGTCCTCCTGTCGCAAGTCAGTAGAGCTTTTGCATGTAAGGAAATCCGATTCGCTGTCATTCTCCGAAGGTGTGTACTCTAGCGACTGACTTCTCCGCTGGAGTGGCGTCTCGGTGGCTATATCCAAACACGTCTTGGGCATTTGCAATAGGTGGTGCGGCGTGACAGAAAGGTTGTTGAAGGCTTTCATACTGACATCTTCTATTTTATTGGTTGTCGAGCGGTCCATCCTGTCTGTCCAGGTTTGACCCAGTGAATGCTCTCGCATTCCATCACACATACACGATTGACTACCTCCGGTATCGGAGGGATGAGATAGCGTATTTACATTACCCAGAAGTTCCGTGGAAAAAGACGCATATGAGACATGCTGTGGCACCGGTCTACCGCGCTGCTCGGTTTGCTGATAGGCGACTAACGGTGGCTGTTCCGACACATACGGCAAAGGTTGGATAGTTTCATTCGCCACACACTCATTGGTCATCTGAAGCACAAAAGGGTTTCGCGACGGCATGGTACCCTCCGGTCTCGCGGTGCTTCTAGCTGCTCCGGAAACTTCACCACCCGAGGGCATGAACCGTGGAACCGGGATATTTTGCGATGGCATCGACACCTGTTGTCCTCTGGAGATCTTTCTTCTTTTGACGCCTCCCACTTCATCATATTCTGACATCCACTCGTCGTCCATTTCTATTTTCTCATTCGTCTCACCGGTACTCTCAAATGTGGGTGCTGATTCATCGTTTATGTTTTGAGAAGGCATAGCTTGTCTTTGACTGTCTGCATTTTCAGGACCAGTACTCTCAAATGTCAGTTCCGATTCATCGTTTAGGTTTTTCGAAGGCGTGGCTTGCCTCTGAGTTGATTCAGCCATGGGTTGCCTCTGACTGTACGCAGTTCCACGACCCGTACTGTCAAATGTGGGCTCCGATTCATCGTTTATGTTTTCAAAAGGCATAGATCTGGTCTGAGCTGCTGGCCCCATTGATTTCCCCTGACTGTATCCAGTTCCACGACCCGTACTCTCAAATGTGGGTGCTGATTCATCGTTTATGTTTTGGGAAGGCATGGCTTGCCACGGAATAGTTGAAGGTGCAACAACGGAACAGTTGAAATTAGGACAGGTTTCAGCGCATATATTTTCTAAAGGCATCGATTGTCTCTGAGTATGTGAAGACAAGGTTTGCCTCTGTCTGAGTGCAGTTCCAGGACTGGAACTTTCGAAAGTAGGTTCCGATTCATCCCATATGTTTGCTGAAGGCATGGATTTTCTCTGAGTTTGTGCAGGTTGCCTTTGAGTGTACGCAGTCCCACGACCGGTGCTCTCAAATGTAGGTGCTGATTCATCAATTATGTTTTTAGATGGCATGGATTGCCTCTGACTGTATGCAGTTCCACGACCGGTACTGTCAAATAATGGTTTCGATTCATCGTTTAGGTTTTGCGAAGGCGTGGCTTGCCTCTGAGTTGATTCAGCCATGGGTTGCCTCTGACTGTATTCAGTTCCACGGCCGGTACTCTCAAATGTGGGTGCTGATTCATCGTTTATGTTTTGAGAAGGCATAGCTTGTCTTTGACTGTCTGCAGTTTCAGGACCAGTACTCTCAAATGTCGTTTCCGATTCATTGTTTAGGTTTTGCGAAGGCGTGGGTTGCCTCTGAGTTGATTCAGCCATGGGTTGCTTCTGACTGTATTCAGTTCCGGTACTGCCGGTACTCTCAAATGTGGGTGCTGATTCATCGTTTATGTTTTGAGAAGGCATAGCTTGTCTTTGACTGCCTGCAGTTTCAGGACCGGTACTCTCAAATGCTGGTTCCGATTCATCGTTTAGGTTTTGCGAAGGCGTGGCTTGCCTCTGAGTTGATTCAGCCATGGGTTGCCTCTGACTGTATTCAGTTCCACGGCCGGTACTCTCAAATGTGGGTGCTGATTCATCGTTTATGTTTTGAGAAGGCATAGCTTGTCTTTGACTGTCTGCAGTTTCAGGACCAGTACTCTCAAATGTCGGTTCCGATTCATCGTTTAGGTTTTGCGAAGGCGTGGCTTGCCTCTGAGTTGATTCAGCCATGGGTTGCCTCTGACTGTATTCAGTTCCACGGCCGGTACTCTCAAATGTGGGTGCTGATTCATCGTTTATGTTTTGAGAAGGCATAGCTTGTCTTTGACTGCCTGCAGTTTCAGGACCGGTACTCTCAAATGCTGGTTCCGATTCATCGTTTAGGTTTTGCGAAGGCGTGGCTTGCCTCTGAGTTGATTCAGCCATGGGTTGCCTCTGACTGTATTCAGTTCCGGTACTGCCGGTGCTCTCAAATGTGGGTGCTGATTCATCGTTTATGTTTTGAGAAGGCATAGCTTGTCTTTGACTGCCTGCAGTTTCAGGACCGGTACTCTCAAATGCTGGTTCCGATTCATCGTTTAGGTTTTGCGAAGGCGTGGCTTGCCGCTGAGTTGATTCAGCCATGGGTTGCCTCTGACTGTATTCAGTTCCACGGCCGGTACTCTCAAATGTGGGTGCTGATTCATCGTTTATGTTTTGAGAAGGCATAGCTTGTCTTTGACTGCCTGCAGTTTCAGAACCGGTACTCTCAAATGCTGGTTCCGATTCATCGTTTAGGTTTTGCGAAGGCGTGGCTTGCCTCTGAGTTGATTCAGCCATGGGTTGCCTCTGACTGTATTCAGTTCCACGGCCGGTACTCTCAAATGTGGGTGCTGATTCATCGTTTATATTTTGAGAAGGCATAGCTTGTCTTTGACTGTCTGCAGTTTCAGGTCCTGTACTCTCAAATGTTGGAGCCGATTCATCGTTTATGTTTTGGGAAGGCATGGCCTGCCACTGAATAGTTGAAGGTTCAACAACGGAACAGTTGACATTCGGACAGGATTCAGCGCATGTATTGTCTGAAGGCTTCGATTGTCTCTGAGTACTTGAAGGCAAGGTTTTCCTCTGACCGAGTGCATTTCCAGGACTGGAACTTTCGAAATTAGGTACCGATTCATCCCATATATTTGCTGAGGGCATGGATTTCCCCTGACTAAATTCAGTTCCAGGACCGGTACCCTCAAATGTGGGTGCAGATTCATTGTTTATGTTTTCAGAAGGCATGGATCTCGTCTGAGCTGCTGGCCCCATTGATTGCCTCTGACTGTATTCAGTTACAGGACCCGTACTCTCAAATGTGGGTTGTGATACATCGTTTATGTTGTGAGAAGGCATAGTTTGTCTTTGACTGTCTGCAGTTTCAGGACCAGTACTCTCAAATGTCGGTTCCGATTCATCGTTTAGGTTTTTCGAAAGCGTGGATTGCCTCTGAGTTGATTCAACCATGGGTTGCCTCTGACTGTATTCAGTTCCACGGCCGGTACTCTCAAATGTGGGTGCTGATTCATCGTTTATGTTTTGAGAAGGCATAGTTTGTCTTTGACTGTCTGCAGTTTCAGGACCAGTACTCTCAAATGTCGGTTCCGATTCATCGTTTAGGTTTTTCGAAAGCGTGGATTGCCTCTGAGTTGATTCAACCATGGGTTGCCTCTGACTGTATTCAGTTCCACGGCCGGTACTGTCAAATGTGGGTGCTGATTTATCGTTAATGTTTTGAGAAGGCATGGATGGCCCCGGAATATATTCGGTTCCAGGACCGGTGATCTCAAATGTGGGTGCTGATTCATCGTCTAAATTTTGGGACGGCATGGATTGCCTCTGACTGTGCTCAGCGCCACGACCAGTACTCTCAAATGAGGGTGCCGATTCATCATTTATGTTTTCAGAAGACGTGGGTTGGCCTTGACTTTTTGCAACTTCAGGACCGGTACTCTCAAATATTGGTTCCGATTCATCGTTCATGTTTTCAGAAGGCATGGATCTCTTCTGAACTGCTGCAGCCATGGATTGTCTCTGACTGTGCTCAGTTCCAGGATCGGTACTCTCAAAAGTGGGTGCAGATTCATCGTTTATATTTTGGCGTTTTTTTTTTTCTGAAGCTATGGATTTCCTCTGACTGTATTCAGTTCCACGACCGGTACTTTCAAATGTGGGTGCTGATTCATCGTTTATGTTTTCAGAAGGCATAGATTGTCTTTGACTGTCCGCAGTTTCAGGACCGGTACTCTCATATGTCGGTTCCGATTCATTGTTTAGGTTTTTCGAAAGCGTGGATTGTCTCTGAGTTGATTCAGCAATGGGTTGCCTCTGACTGTGCCCAGTTCCACGACCGGTACTCTCAAATGTGGGTGCTGATTCATCGTTTATGTTTTGAGAAGGCATGGATGGCCTCTGACTGTATTCGGTTCCAGGACTGGTTCTCTCAAATGTTGGTTCCGATTCATCGTTTATGTTTTTTGAAGGCATGGATATCGTGTGAGGTGCTGCACCCATTGATTGCCTCTGACTGTATTCAGTTCCAGGACCGGTACTCTCAAATGTGGGTTGTGATACATCGTTTATATTTTGAGAAGGCATAGCTTGTCTTTGACTGTCTGCAGTTTCAGGTCCCGTACTCTCAAATGTTGGAGCCGATTCATCGTTTATGTTTTGGGAAGGCATGGCCTGCCACTGAATAGTTGAAGGTTCAACAACGGAACAGTTGACATTCGGACAGGATTCAGCGCATGTATTGTCTGAAGGCTTCGATTGTCTCTGAGTACTTGAAGGCAAGGTTTTCCTCTGACCGAGTGCATTTCCAGGACTGGAACTTTCGAAATTAGGTACCGATTCATCCCATATATTTGCTGAGGGCATGGATTTCCCCTGACTATATTCAGTTCCAGGACCGGTACCCTCAAATGTGGGTGCAGATTCATTGTTTATGTTTTCAGAAGGCATGGATCTCGTCTGAGCTGCTGGCCCCATTGATTGCCTCTGACTGTATTCAGTTACAGGACCCGTACTCTCAAATGTGGGTGCTGATTCATCGTTTATGTTGTGAGAAGGCATAGTTTGTCTTTGACTGTCTGCGGTTTCAGGACCAGTACTCTCAAATGTCGGTGCCGATTCATCGTTTAGGTTTTTCGAAAGCGAGGATTGCCTCTGAGTTGATTCACCCATGGGTTGCCTCTGACTGTACGCAGTTCCACGACCCGTACTGTCAAATGTGGGCTCCGATTCATCGTTTATGTTTTCAAAAGGCATAGATCTGGTCTGAGCTGCTGGCCCCATTGATTTCCCCTTACTATATTCAGTTCCACGACCTGTACTATCAAATGTGGGTTCCGATTCATCGTTTATGTTTTCAGAAGGCATTGTTTGTCTTTGACTGTCTGCAGTTTCAGGACCGGTACTCTCAAATGTTGGTTCCGATTCATCGTTTAGGTTTTTGGACAGCGAGGATTGCCTCTGAGTTGATTCAGCAATGGGTTGCCTCTGACTGTGCCCAGTTCCACGGCCGGTACTCTCAAAGGTGGGTGCTGATTCATCGTTTATGTTTTGAGAAGGCATAGTTTTTCTTTGACTCTCTGCAGTTTCAGGACCAGTACTCTCAAATGTCGGTTCCGATTCATCGTTTAGGTTTTTCGAAAGCGAGGATTGCCTCTGAGTTGATTCATCAATGGGTTGCCTCCGACTGTGCCCAGTTCCACGACCGGTACTCTCAAATGTGGGTGCTGATTCATCGTTTATGTTTTGAGAAGGCATAGTTTGTCTTTGACTGTCTGCAGTTTCAGGACCAGTACTCTCAAATGGCGGTGCCGATTCATCGTTTAGGTTTTTCGAAATCGAGGATTGCCTCTGAGTTGATTCACCCATGGGTTGCCTCTGACTGTACGCAGTTCCACGACCCGTACTATCAAATGTGGGTTCCGATTCATCGTTTATGTTTTCAGAAGGCATGGATCTTGTCTGAGCTGCTGGACCCATGGATTGCCTCTGACTGTATCCAGTTCCACGACCCGTACTCTCAAATGTGGGTGCTGATTCATCGTTTATGTTTTGGGAAGGCATGGCTTGCCACGGAATAGTTGAAGGTTCAACAACGGAACAGTTGAAATTAGGACAGGTTTCAGCGCATATATTTTCTAAAGGCATCGATTGTCTCTGAGTACGTGAAGGCAAGGTTTTCCTCTGTCTGAGTGCAGTTCCAGGACTGGAACTTTCGAAAGTAGGTTCCGATTCATCCCATATGTTTGCTGAAGGCATGGATTTTCTCTGAGTTTGTGCAGGTAAAGATTGCCTTTGAGTGTACGCAGTCCCACGACCGGTGCTCTCAAATGTAGGTGCTGATTCATCAATTATGTTTTTAGATGGCATGGATTGCCTCTGACTGTATGCAGTTCCACGACCGGTACTGTCAAATAATGGTTTCGATTCATCGTTTATGTTTTGAGAAGGCATGGATCTCGGCTTAGCTGATACACCCATTGATTGCCTCTGACTGTATGAAGTTCCACGAGCGGTACTCTCAAATGTGGGTTCAGATTCATCATTAATGTTTTGAGAAGGCATGGATTGTCTTTGACTGTATGCAGTTCCACGACCGGTACTGTCAAATGTTGGTTCCGATTCATCGTTTATGTTTTGAGAAGGCATGGATCTCGGCTTAGCTAATACACCCATTGATTGCCTTTGACTGTATGAAGTTCCACGAGCGGTACTCTCAAATGTGGGTGCTGATTCATCAAATATGTTTTGAGACGGCATGGATTGCCTCTGACTGTATGCAGTTCCACGACCGCTACTCTCAAATAACGGTTTCGATTCATCGTTTATATTTTGAGAAGGCATGGATTGTCTTTGACTGTATGCAGTTCCCCGACCGGTACTGTGAAATTTCGGTTCCGATTCATCGTTTATGTTTTGAGAAGGCATGGATTGTCTTTGACTGTATGAAGCTCCACGACTGGTACTCTCAAATGTGGGTTCCGATTCATCGTTGATGTTTTGAGAAGGCATGGATTGTCTTTGACTGTATGAAGCTCCACGACTGGTACTCTCAAATGTGGGTTCCGATTCATCGTTGATGTTTTGAGAAGGCATTGATTGTCTTTGACTGTACGCAGCCATGGATTGCCGCTGACTGTACGCAGTTCCACGACCCGTACTCTCAAATGTGGGTTCCGATTCATCGTTTATGTTTTCAGAAGGCATGGATCTTGTCTGAGCTGCTGGACCCATGGATTGCCTCTGACTGTATCCAGTTCCACGACCCGTACTCTCAAATGTGGGTGCTGATTCATCAAATATGTTTTGAGATGGCATGGATTGCCTCTGACTGTATGCAGTTCCACGACCGGTACTTTCTAATAACGGTTTCGATTCATCGTTTATATTTTGAGAAGGCATGGATTTTCTTTGACTGTATGCAGTTCCACGACCGGTACTGTGAAATTTCGGTTCCGATTCATCGTTTATGTTTTGAGAAGGCATGGATCTCGTCTGAGCTGATTGCCTTTGAGTGTACGCAGTTCCACGACCGGTGCTCTCAAATGTGGGTGCTGATTCGTCAAATATGTTTTGAGATGGCATGGATTGCCTCTGACTGTATGCAGTTCCACGACCGGTTCCCTCAAATGTTGGTTCTGATTCATCGTTTATGTTTTGGGAAGGCATGGTTTGAAACTGAGTAGGTACAGGTTCATCGCCGGAACAGTTGAATTTAGGACATGATTCATGGCATATGTTTTGTGAAGGCCTAGATCGTCGATGAGTACCTGAAGGCAAGGTTTTCCTCTGTGTATGTGCAGTTCCAGGACTGGTTCTTTCGAAAGTAGGTTCCGATTCATCCCATATGTTTGCTGAAGTCATGGATTTCCTCTGAGTATTTGCAGGTAAAGATTGCCTTTGACTGTACGCAGTTCCACGACCAGTACTCTCAAATGTGGGTGCTGATTCATCGATTAGGTTTTGAGATGGCATGGATTGCCTCTGACTGTATGCTGTTCCACGACCGGTACTGTCAAATGTGGGGGCTGATTCATCATTAATGTTGCTTGAAGGCATTGATCGTCTCTGACTGTAAGTATTTCTGTGATCTGAACTTGCAAAGGTAGGAGCCGATTCATCACCTATTTGCTCCCGAGCCGACACTTCGCGTAAGTCCCCGCTGGGTAGTGTCACATGCCGGTGGGATGAAGTTGCTGCTTCTCCAGACGACGGCATGGTTACATCATCCAGAACTTCATCAGTCACTTTGACTGGCCCCTTATTTACAGAATCGTTACTCCGTTTTATCGACCCGGCTTCATTGCGAAAGGGGGCGTATTCCTCAGCAAGGTCACCAGACACTGACTTGGGGTGGGCGTTGCCATTTGGAGATCTCGAAGAAGGCGAAACCTCTCCTCTGGGTGGACTGTCGTTGAATTGAGGAGCAGAATTATTGTTTATATTCTGCGACTGCTGTGATATCTGCTGCCTTCTGGGATTTGAGCCTTGCGACAAGCTTCGTTGGCGGGTCGCGGAACTGAGGTCCTCTTGAAACTGACTGCGTCTGCCATCTGGACTTTGAGATCGGAATCTTCGGTGATCACTTTCTAAGTTTTCGCTTGGACTGTCCTGTTGTGACCTGTCCGGGAAACTGGTCCGGTCCGGAGCCGTTCCTTGGGATCTCCTTTTTCGCCGTTGCTGTTCACTGTAGGCACTGGGCCACGTCTGTTGTGCCCTGTCAGAGAAGCCGGTGGTGTATGCCACATAAGACGGTATTGTCTGGTCATTCAGGAACCCGATAGTCCTGGGTGCTCGCCATTGGCGAGTAGCTCCCGAAATGCCATTGAAAGAATGCGCTGGTTCGTCCTCCAATTTCTCGCGCTGTGAGCTGCGATCGCGATATTGAAGAGGTCCTTGCCCACCCGGATACTCGCTGGGCATGTATCTCTCTCCTATAAGCGTCCTTGGCCTAGAGTCATCGTGGAGCATGAGCATCGTTTCGTCCGACACGTTTTTAGACACATCCTCTGTGGAGAAGTTAATGCGCCGTGTAATGGACGGTGGCCTATCCCGGGGCGCAGTGCACACTGTGGTCGTCTCCTCAATGCGACTAGTAATATTTCCGTTGGAGTCACGATGCGTAGTGACCTTGCGGTGGGTAGTCTTCAAGACGCAAGAGACATAAGAATTAGGGCAAAAACTAAGTACACACTTCGGAGAATTTTAGTTACCTTCTGGCTAAGGGATTTGTCTCTAATCTGTAAGGACGTGCCGGGCGTCATAATATCCCTGGGGTCCGGAAAGCTATCGAAAATTTCCGTATACACGGTCTCGACCGTGTGGCCGCTGGCCACCGGCGCCTCCGCCATATTGGATCGTTGAGAGGGCTTTTTCATTTCAAAGCTGGGTGCCGACACATCTGCTATATTTTCCTCCGGAACATTGGCTATTTGAAGCTGCTGTCGGCCACGGGACTGGCGTCGCGGTTGGGCCTGCCGGAAGTTCTTCACCTCCGTTGCATCGGTTTTATCTGCAAGTGGGTGCGGCAGTGTTATACCTGCAAGCCTTGAAACTGCATCTCACGCGAAGCACTTACGGGTCTGATCGCGTAGGATGCTGCGCGGATGGGTGCCACCGTCTATGACACCGAACACGGCGGGAAGGTACCGGCGTACCGGCGCGCCGAGACCGAATCCCGGACGCAAATGCTGCAGTTTATTTACGAGATCGTTTTGCGTTCCACCGCTGCGTCGGAGACTGATCCTTTCGCATATGGGGTAACGTTATCAGTAGCCGCGACTGCGTTGTCAGATCACGTCACTCACCTGCTCTCACATTGCAGCGAATTTTTTTTGTTCGGACTATTATTCGGGGAGCTTACGGATAAAGAGTTAAACATTTATTAGTTCATTTTTCATTTTGAAATATCAACTGTAAGTCTTACCTCATGTTTACTTAAAATTTTGAAAAGATTTTTCGACTTGGAGAATCATAAATTTTGATGTGAGAGGCTCGAGAGTTGCCAGACTTATGAGTAAAATCAGTATCTGGAAAGCTACAAAGCCTAAGGGATAAAAAGTTTGCTGAGATTCGGAAAAATTTCGTTATGATATCGTTGCTACTTCCAGCAATCAATGTACCGTTTGCAAAGTGTGTCAAGCATCCGTGCACTTTTTCTTATCCAATTAAACAATTATACGGAGCGGAGCTCATTAAAGCAGGTTGTTCGAAGAGCCCCGGGAGCGGCTGCCACTCGACAACCACTTCCGTTCAGGAGCTTCAGCTCTCGCTCCAACTGAAGACTGTATATGCAATTAGCGGGCACATAGCTTCCTCTGCATTCAATTTGCTTCAACTTCATTGGCTTTTGATGACTTTAAATGAAACTGAGAGTCAGAGACAGACTCTCCTCGAAACTATATGCGAGATGGGAGATGCGGTTGGGGATTGAATACTAGGGAATGGGTGTGATTCTAGGTGGGACTTTTAAGGCGCACGTTGGCTTTTGGCTGGACTGAGAAGTCGTCACACAAAACCGCTTTCATTTCCGCCAAACACAATTGCATCATTAGCGATGCAATCTCCGTTACTTAACGCAACCGCAACATGCCGGAAATGAAATCCTGGGCAAACTGGCGTGCGCGGCGCTAAGCCCGCTAAACTTTTCCACGGTGAACGGCATGACAAAAACGGCAGACAGAGAAAGGGCAGCAGAAAGTGAAAAAAAAACGGTCCAGAAATAGAAGGAAATATGACGTCGCCATGTGGCATTCTCAAAGTCGTAGTCAAAGACCAGCTTGAGCGAAGACGGTGACGGTGGCGGTCTCGCTATCGGTGGCGGTGGCGGCAGCGGATACGGAGCCGGGTAGAGAGGATAAAGGAAAACAGCCGGAAAGCAAACGAAATGATGCTGCTGCGCACAAATAATCGAATAAAGCCAACGCAGCGGCCAGAACATCAGCCAGAGCTGACTCCAAAGCTTACGCGGTAGCCATTCCCATAGCTGGCCGTCCAGTGGAGCGAAGCTGCTCGTAGGATACGAGGACAAACGATTACGCCGTATCGCTTCATTTACCTGGGAATGTGCATAGGTTTGAGCATGGGCATGGGACTGGAGTTGGAGTTGGTGGTGCTGTTGGAAACGGAGTTGGGGTCTGAAAATTTCTGACTTGAGCTTCCAAAAACGCAGACTCCAAACCCATCCACACCATATGCCAGAGTCGATACACCATACGATATTTTAATAGAACCAATGCTGCCAGTTTAGCCTATTTCAGGGTAGATCTAGCATTTTTAAAAGTGGACTGACTACTAGCTTATAAAATTAGCAAATAGCTTATATGCTATTCAGCTTATATTTGTTTTTAATAAAAATTGTATCTTCTCTAGATTTTTTGTTGAATGAAAAATATTAACTTGTTTTTTATGCATTTTTTGATGCATTCATCACATGCATAAGAGCAATTTGGTTCTGTTAAACTTTAGGCTACCCTATAGTTTTAAATTTCCTGAATGTATTTTCCGTTGTCAAAGTGCTGAGGCAAAAAAAACCAACGATATTGTGGAAGTTTTGGAAGATAGTAAGGTTACCAACTTCTACAGTATAAAGTCGTACGATAATATGTTTGTGTGTTTGTTCAAAGAGAAAAATACCGACAATACTATTTAGTTTTTGGGCAGAGGTGCTGGCCTACATACACACATCGGCATAAGTATTCGGTTTTAACTTCTTATTTTCTCAAAGTAGAAACTATATTTATTTACCGTAAATAGGTATTATATTAAGCTATTAACAATATGTAAGAAAAAAATGATAAGTGCGTTTATTGTGAAATGAAAATTAATTATTCCCAAACAGATGGTGGCACAAGGATTTTGACATTTTATAAAATGTAAAAAAGCAAAAAAGAACGGAACGAACTAACTTTTTATGATGAATCAGCCAAATATATATCTTCCCTTTGCCTCTTCACCTTTGCAGACGCCTCGGAACTGACTCCACAAAGCTGTGGATATAAGCCAACAGAATTTCTCTCCAGAGTGATTTCACCTCTCAGATTGTATTCTCACGCTTCCTTGTCAAATTTGGAGTCCGGTTTCATTTTATATAAGACCAGAGACGCTCGATAATGTTTAAGTCTGGGCTCTGAAGCGGCTAGTCCAAAGTATTAACCCCAGTGTCCTTCAAGAATTGGGTAACGGCTTTAGCTTTTTGACACGGGCGTTTTCCTGTTGGAATGTAAAGGACTCCCCAATCAAATTATCTCCAGAGGGGAAAGCCAGATTGTTTAGCACTTCCAAATATTTTTCCTTATTTATGCTACCATCAACTGGATCTAAATTTCGCAAGCCATTGTAGGCGACGCATCCTCAAAACATTATGGTCCCACCTCCATGGATCGCTCTTTCACATATGGGTGCAACTTTTTTGCGACGTTCTTGTAGGTTTCTTATTGTCCGTTCACTGACATCAAAATTTCCTCTTTCATTCAAGTCATTGGCAACCGATCGAGGAGTTTTCAAGACATCCCTCTCAAATTGCCGCAAATTAAAAGTGTCTGCCTTGGCAGTTGTCTTTCGTGGTCTGCCACAACGTGTAACGTTATTTGAAGTATTGGTTTTTATACCCGATACTCAAATTAGTATTGGGGTATATAAGATTTGTGGTAGATTTGTGTAACATCCACAAATTCCTTCCGACCCCATAAAGTAAATATATTAGTCCAGTCCGTCTGTCTGTCCGTCCCTATTAGCGCCTAGTGCTCAAAGACTATAAGAGTTAGAGCAACGATGATTTGGATCCAGACTTCTGTGATATGTCACTGCTACAAGTATATATCAATATATATATATATATTTGCCCCGCCCACTTCCGCCCCCACAAAGGGCGAAAATCTGTGGCATCCACAAATTCAAAGATACGAGAAAACTGAAAACGCAGAATCGTAGAGGAAGACTATATGTTCTAGAGTGTAAAATCTGAACCAGATCGTATAATTATTATAGCCAGAATCAAGAAAACAATTTCATTCTCGCTATGTCTCTCTCTAACACACAGGTTTCATGGTCAGTTCCTATAAGAGCCAGAGCAACCAAATTTGGTACCCACACTCCTGTGATATCGGACCTTAACCGTTTTGTGTCAAAATTTCGCCACACCCCCTTCCGCCCCGAGACTATTAAGGCTAGAGTAACCAAATTTGGTATCCGCACTCCTGTTAGATTTCACTATAAAACGTATATCTCAAAATTTCGCCCCACCCCCTTGCGCCCCCACAAAAGACGAAAATCTGTTGCATCCACAATATTGCAGATTCGATAAAACTAAAAACGCACAATCATAGAGACTGACCATATCTATCCGGTTGCTGAATCTGGATCAGATCAGATCGTTTTTATAGCCAAAAGGAACAAATCAATTTGCTCTGGCTCAGACTGATTTTCTGTCTCTCTCGCACGCACTCTTTGTCGTGTCGTTTAATATTTGCGGCGTCTGCCGGAGAAGAGCCATACTGACTATGTATCGGGTATAAATGTAGAGTTGCGGTGTCCGCAGCGGGGAACGCTGTGAGTTGCTGCGGACACCGCAAATACACTTTCGTTTTGCATATCTTTAGTGTTTCGCTTAGATATGTTTCCGTTTTGAAAATAGAAACATTGCTTTTTGCGAAAGCGGGAGCACCAATTTTTGCGCTTTCAAATATTGCGATAGTGACATTTGAGTGGATAATTCTGGTGTGACCTCGGAACATTTCAGCAGGTTTCTTAGAGATAGTATTGGGCTCTCAAAATTGTGGCATCTTCTTTGGCTTTGACGATTTCAGGATGCATTTAAAATGATCATGTATAAAATCAGCATTCTTTGTCTCGAAAAAACGTTTATATAAATACATATGTACATATCATAAGTGTGCTGGGCTTTTTCCTTTTTTATTTTCAATGTTAAGTGCCATAAATGATCATCTAAGAGTTTGTTGCAGTCTATGAAATTAAATTAGATCCGATGAAAAATAACTTATACACTTTCTCAAGCAGTTAGAAATCGTTTCCTGGCTAGTAAGCATGTGGCTCCTCTCCCCACACGTGGCTGACTCTTCGAATACAATCTGCCTGCAATCAAGTGCCGAACGAGGTATTGCTCTTGTTGCTCTTTCTAACTCACCTTCCGTGGCCAACTCCTCGCCCAGTTGAACATCTTAGGTGTGCTCCAGCCTAAGTCCGTGTTGTCACATTTCGCACCGCTTTGTTCCGCATTAATGCGTCTGCCAAAAGGGACGACGACGATGAAGTCATGCAAAACTAATGTCAGGTGGTGGCCATAGACCAAGCAACTTGGTATTCATATAGGTAGGCTACAAATCCGGAGGAGGCGCTGAAGCAGGAGGCGCAGCAGCAGCGAGAAAAAAGGATGGCTGGCGACTGCCTCTAGGCTACAGACGAGTTGGGGCCTGTACTCGTACTCTCACTCTCCGCACTCGCACCGAAAGTTCGGCGAACGTTTAACTTGCTTACTTTTCAATTTGTTGGCGGCAGCGACACAAAGATGCGGCAGATGGGGCAGGAAGCGGGCTACATGTGCTTACCCGTTACTGTTATGGGCAGAGCACATCATAATGCAATGGAATAACACACAAAGGGGCTTCTATTCTGGGCTTAGGCCTGGGCAAATACGGCCAGAGAGCGATTAGCGCAAATGTATGAAGAGCTTTGGCTCTGCTCCCCAGCAGAACATAGAAGCCACAAAGCCGCAACGACCACTGCCACAGCCACTGCTTTTGCAACTGCTACTGCCACTGCCTCATCAAATATGCATTATGTGTGTGCACTGGAGCTGGCACCGACGGGCTGTGTCCTGGCATTTGGGATGCAGGGGCAATCAGGAAATTAAACCGAATCAATAATTGCAAAGCCTGTTGAAGGTCTGCAAGGAATTATGAGCCCTAATTGAAATATACTTGTACAAATTTTATATGGGGAACATCATGGGTCCCAACTTTAAAGGTCCCAACTTTAAAAGTCCCAACTACACTGCATAGGATAAACATAGATACTGGGATATGCGATATACCACTATTTCAGAATTGGGACAAAAACGCCATCTGGCGTCTATCACTCGAGAGAGAAAGCTCTCACTTCGAACTGTTACGCTGCCTAACAGGGGGATTCTCGAAAGGCTACCAGCGAAAGGAACAGGGAGGGTAACATGGATTCCAGTTAACAGAGAAGAACCACCATTGGAACAATCGAATGGAGAAAAGTTACCGGGGAATCGCTTGTCTGCGAGTCGCTTACGTCTCCATCCCATCCCTTGTCGTCGGCGTCTCCATGGCAAAGAGCAGTGGAACACTGACCAAAACACTGCATTTGCTTGCGTTGCCCATGACGACTCCGTGGCACAATCAGCTGGCCGCCGCCTGTGGCATGTAAACAAACAGAAACTGAAATCCGCATTAATCAACGGGAACTCGGAGCAAAAGTTTATTTGAAACAGTAAAAATAATCAAACAAATCAGAGCTGGTGGTCGGTATGGCCATGTCCTAGATGGGTGTGCTATGCGCCAAGCTGCGCCGCTACTTCTGCTCCTCCTGCTGCTGTTTTAGGGCCTTGCCGCCGCCTGAGGAGTTCCAGGTGCTGCTTCTGGGGCCCGCTGGCAGTGGAAAGACGGAGCTGGGCCACCGGGTGAGCGGTCGAGAGCGCGGCGGGGACGATCTGGATCCCACTAACGGAGTGCGATGCTACCGCTTGGAGTCGGCGGCTTTACAGCGCGAGGATATCGCTGTGGATCTGCAGCTCACCGAGGTCGGTGGCAATGCGGAAATGCAGCGCCTCTGGAAGCACTACTACGCTGCCAGTCATGCACTGATCTACTGCTTCGATCTTGGCTCGGGCATGGAGGAGCTGGAGGACACGTTCGCGCTGCTGCGCAAGTGCCTTCAGGGCACGGCTCTGGACGGAAAGCCTGTGCTTCTGGTGGCCAAGCGACACCGCGAGGGAGTGCAACTGTACGACGTGGAGCACTCCTTTGGCTTGGACCAGCTGGCTCGCTCCTGCGGCTGCCCCCTTCACATCTGCCACATGGACGACGCCAGGGATTTGGGACACGGCATTGTTTGGCTGTGCCGCCAGCTAGTGGCACGGCGTCCCATGCTCGAGCAGCGCGTCCGCTACGACGTCAACATGCAGGTTATATTCGACTACAAGCACACACACGTCATCTTTCTCACCTCAACTTGGTTTTCCCTCCAGCAGGTCTGGCACCGACGCAAGAAGTCACTCCTATCCAGCAGCAAGATGGCGCAAGTGCATCGCGGCCGATTTCGTCGCCCAAACAGAAAGGTAGCCATCCTTCGAAGGGATTTCTCAGACTTATCTATGAGTGTACCTATTTACATATATCCTTGCTCTCAACAGCTCTGGCCTACAGTCAATAGTGTTAATCAGACAACGGTGCGTCCCAGTACGGCGCCGCCGACAATTTTCTTAGTTCGCTCGCGACAAGAGGTAGCGCCAAATCCGGAGCAAGCAGCGTCTTAGCTTTCTGTCACGTGTCCGCGTCCGACGTGCCAAAAGCATTTTGTTACCAGAGGCCTTACGTTTTTATTTATAGGATTTAAGCAGTATTTTATAGTTAAGGTTTAAGTAAAGATGTTATGGTTTTTTCTGCGGGTAATTTCGCGCTTTTTCCCATTTTAAAGCCGGTTATCTCTCCGCTTATCGCAAAAAGAGGCACATTGACTGTCCAATCGCAATATCTCGTAGTCCGGTTTTCGCAAATCGCGATTTCTAAAATGATACACAAATTTTAATGTGCGAAAAAAAACTATAAAGATATTTGCTGATGTTTAAGTTTATATTTATTATATTGTCAATTTTTTTCATACAACTTTATGTATTTAATAAAAATAACCAAAAACGCAGAATAATTGACAATGACCATTTCTAGCAGATTGGATCAGATCGGACCACTATTATAGCCATAATGAACTTATCAAATTACAGTGGCTACGCAACGCCATTTCCCGCGCTTACTCCTTCTATCTCTCTCTCTCTCTCTCTCTCTCTCTCTCCCGGACACTTTTCCTCGTGCATGTGCGGCTCCAATCAATGGAGTGGTCATGGTTTCTATCTTTCTCTCTATGTTTCTCCGTTTTTCATGACAAAAGTGAGCAAAATGAAGAGAAGTCGTAGAGAGATAACCCGTCCCCGAAAAAAACAATAGATTCGTCACTTTTGCAATCAGCAATACCAAAAGACAGAGAGACGATTGCGATATTTACAAAATATATTTTACCAGTTACATTAATCATAAGCTCACATACTCGTACATAGTAGAGCCGCGGCCCTTGCCGGCGCACAAAGCTTCCGCTCGATCTGCATATGATTGTGGATGCAGAGTGGGCACAGAGCGTACTATTCGTCGTTATCCACTGCATTTCAATAGAAGAGAGTGGGACCAGCAATGGAAACTGTGTGGAAAAATCATGCAGTCATAGTAAGAGGTTTATAATGCTCTAGCATGTTATTGTTATCCATTTGGAGGCATCGCAACCACAGAGAAGCGTTATTCACGGAACAAAAATAAATCAATCGATTCGGTTAGTAAAAGCATTTCGTATTTCACACAACTTATGACAATCCTTGTCCGTTTGAAGGCTCTAATTAACAATCTTAGCTGAAATTAGTCGCCGCCCTATCGTCTATACATTATATGGCATTTCAAACTACATGTATTTAAAGAACCATGCGCCGCATTGATGCGGCCAGACAGCAGAGGAGACTGCTATGCAAAGTTGGTTTCAGTCATCCGGTTTGTCCAGTGGGGTCTAGTGGGGTCTGGCCATGGGTGTGGGTGTGCCTGGGCCCCGTCACCCAGGCGATGATGTATTGCCGAACACCAATAACCAAACCCATACGAAGAAGCATCCTATAGACACAAAATGACACACACGACGCGTCGGCAGGAGAGGGCAGAATCAAACAATTACTACTACACCGACAGAGATTTCACCCACACCCGCTGATGGGTGACATTGATGATTGCGGCTCGTCCTTGTCGACGTCGTCGTAGTCGTCGTAGTCGTTGTCTGGAGACGCTCGAACGTGTGCTCATAATAATCCCTCGATATATAACCCAACGCCGGTGCGCTGCACCCGACTCCCAGACAAACATCTGTCGCCGTGTGTTGTAGCGAAAAGTGTAAAATAAGCATCAATCATCGCTTATTCGCGTTGTCATCAATCACACACAAACACGGGTGCAGGAGAAAAGGGGATATGCTGCGGTGACAAGAGGAACAAGACGAACAACAGGAACAACAGGAACAGGAACTGCAGGAACAGGAGCAACGTCAACGTCCCACCGGTAGCACCCACCCACCATGGGGTGGTGGTTAGTTTTTGTCAACACGAGAGGCATATTTACAAAAGCGCCAACGCCAATGCCAACCCCTCTGGTGCGGTCACTCCTTTTGCGGCATTCCTAATCAGTTCTGCGAGGAGAGTTATTAAATCATCTGTTTGTACGATCCGGCCCACCCGTCATCCGCCGCCATGAGCCGCCATCAGCCGCTGTCACATGTCTGTCAACAGTCAAGGGCTCAGAAATGTGTAACCAAATACGAGTGTGTGTGCCGCCGGGTCAGCAGCGACTCATCAATATCGATAACCCGTTCCACAACCCTCGTCATCCGCCGTGGTAATGGCAATGGTGGTGGTGATGGTGCGGCAGTGCGCCAAGGCGGAAAATAAAGATTTAATCGGCATTTTTTTTCACGTTTTTAGGACTTTTTTACGATTATGCGATTATGGATATGCACATTCCTGTGAGGACGGGAAACACGGTGTGTAGGACCGGTGAGAAAAGCCTGGAGAGGATTGCCCAAAGTGTAAATGAATCTTCAAAAATTTCTAGAAACTTGTTCATAAGTTTGGTATCTTTACAGGAGGATTGGTCGGGCCCCAGCAATTGCCTTGGCCCAAAAAATCAAGTTTCAATTTCAATTTAAGCCACAATCGTGTTATGCCTGGACCCAATGTTTCTCGTACTCGTACGAAGCTCTTCAGTAAGGATTGCCTCTCTTCCTCTCTGTGAACATAATCAAATAAAGTCACGCCGCTTTAGTATTTGCGGTTTACACGTGAGGATAGAAATGGAGCACCGCCAGAGCCAGAAGGAGGGAGCTCGGGAGGGCGAAAGCCAGGCGATTTGGTCAAGTGGTGGACCGCTAAAAGGGTAACCCGATACGCTCATTGTATGCAAGGGCGTTGGATGCCAAACAAACTTGCTGAAAAAGGGCAGCAGGACATGTGCACGAAATTATTTTTCAGGGCTACTAGATGAAGGACGAAGGATGGCACCAGCAGATGCAGTAGAGATGACGACGGAGACGTCGCTCTTTTTAATCCAACATGATATCGTCCACAAAATGCAAAGCGGTCGAGGTTGCTCCTGCTGCCGCCGCTGCTACCCATGGATCCTTTCCAAGCTCAGGCACACAAAACAGAGACGGAGGCCGGAGCGGACGAAGCGGGCACAGACACAGAGGCAGAGAGAAAACTGAAAAAATCTGAAAGCGGATTAAATGTATTCGTGAGAATTCTTCAACGATTTCACACCTGTGCAAAAGCTAGCTATGGACCTGGACATGGACCTCAATCACATCAACCTCGCGTCACATCCCCTCCTTCCAATCTCATTCCCATGCCACATCCCAGAGCAATGCGTCCGTCCGTCCGTCCGGCATAAAATGCCAATTAGAATTTCAAGTTCGCAGTCCGATGTTCCGTGTGTCCCGTCGACGCCTTAAGCGCCCGCCCTATTCCGCCCGGCCTCGTCATCGTCCTCCCTGATCGACTTTTCGCAACGCAAATTGTTTATCGCCCCCAGGGCTCTTTATTAACTTTACGGCCGGTGGGGCCGGTGAGAAGTGACCTCTGCCACTCCTCGTCCTCGGCTGACCGTTCCGCCTGCGGCTCAGCTCTCCCCTTCAGATCGATTGTGCTGCCTCTTTAACTTTCAATTTCCATGCGCTTCGATTTGGCCAGCTTGGTCCTCAGTTCCATCTACTGCTCCTGCTCCCCTGCTCCTGCAAAAGCACCAACTCCAGCTTATGCAGCTCCTCCTCCGGCTCCCCTTCATGTCTGTTCGTTTCTGTTCATCCTCGTTTTTTTTTTTTTTTTTTTTTTTTTTGGTCAACGCGTAACGCGGAAATGCACTCAAAATATTAAATGCTTCAGTAGTTTGCAATTATTGCGAGACGAGCTGCCTTGTGCTTAATTCATAATACGAATCGAGCCCAAAGAGGAGGATTTTGGCTTCGGTTTCCGGCCGTCCCGGACAGGCCTCCTGGTTCACAGGCAGTGTGGGGTTACACACTCGATGTTCAAGAGGAAGAGGCGCAGTCACTCTCCCACCTGACCAGCACGGCAGGAGGCAGGAGGCGGGGGCCAGGGCGAACTGTGAGAGGCCAACGAACTTCAGAGTGATTCATTCCATTCATGCCACTTAATGATAGTGGAATCGGAATAGTAGTTTAAGTTTTATTGATTTCATTTTTTGTATTCTGGGGAGAAAGATTATTGGAAAGACAGAAAAGGCGGGAATTCGTCTTACAAATAACGACTTCTTATTGGCAGCCACGAAACATCAGATGAATCATTCTGATACACATGATTTCTACAGATGTTTTATTTATTTCAGAAAATCTTCGAGCTCAGGGCAAAGGTGAACGGCCATCCCCTGCTCCAGGACTATTGAGTGCTGCATAAAATCTGTATTTCCATTTGTTCGCCACAAACTTATGCTGAATCGTATCCAAATATGGATACTTTTTTGTGCCATATGCCAAAACTGAACGTCTACACAAAATTAACGCATAAAATTGGCCCCATGGAATGTGGATGTCGATGTCGTCGAGATGGATTCGTAACATACATATATGTGAAGGAGTGTGAAGGAGGCGGTAGGAATATTTCCCAGTGTGTGTACAACATGGCAAGCCATAAATATAAATTCTCAGGCGCTTTACGAGCCTGCAGCCGAAATAAGGAGAAAAGGATTACATGCCACAATGAGCAACAGAGGAGGAGCGACAAAGGCGACGGAGGCGACTGAGGCGATGGCAGCAGGAGCAGCAACAACACCCACAACTAAAGTCTTCGATAAAGCAAAGTCTATGAGATTTACGAGCAGATTTCAAGAGTTACAAATACATACATGAATTTGGCCTAGGCAAAAGCAGGAGGAGAGGAAAGAGTGTTGGGATGCTGAAGGAAGCAGGGAAGAGGCAGGAGACGGAGACGGAGACGGAGATACAAGGATAGGCACACGCATAGCCGCAGGACACGGATTTTATGTTGCGGACGACGGCGTCAAGTTGCCAAGAGCAAAACTTTCAATTGCATTTTGGCCAAGTTTCTTTTAGCTTATCTTTATTATCGCTGCTGTTATTATCCTGGCCCTGGTCCTGCCACAGGCAGACCCACAATCCTGGGTCTCTGTCAGGCTCATAAAGTATGTCATGTGTCATAAATGA